GCCCGCCGCAGCGGCTCCCGCTCCGGGAGTAGGAGGGTGGGGGAGTGATTATGTATGCACCAGCTAATTCTTCCATCAAAACTTCTTGTCAGCGATGTCAGGATTATTTTTTTTCTTTTTATAAAAACACTTGATGTTTCAGGAAGTGTTAATCCCTGAAGGTTGGGGGATGGGGTAGCAAAAGAGTGGGTGTGGGTGACATGTTTCTTGAGCCTGGGGAAGGCACCCTTTAGAACCTTTTGCCTGTCTACACTAGAGTTGGGGTCTGCTGTGGAGCTGGGGACTGAAGAAAGAGGGTTTCTTTGAGTCATGGGAGGGAGGGACCCTTACCCTGCGTACTGCATTTGATGGAGGTGCCTATGGCTTGTGCGGGATGAGGAGCAGAAAAGTTCGCTTTAGCCTGTGATTTTAGGATATTTAGCCCAGGCGGTGGCTTGACAAAACCCAGATAATTCTGAAACCAGTTGTTAAAAGATACAGAAAGAAATAGATAGCAGGATGAAAATGTCTAGCTTAGTAACTGAGTTGGTTCTTTCCTTTCTATTTTTCTTGGGATCAACTATCTCAGGTTCTATATCCAGTGCCCAGACCTACCTTTCCATAGGTGACAGAAATGGAAAATTTCTTCAAGGGGACAGATTTGACTAATTGTTTCACCAGATGAGTCTAACAATAAATTCATATTTCTTTGCTTATAGATGGGAGAATTTTTAAACTTTTTGTGGCTCTTTAAATTAGCACAGAATAAGGAAGGCTGAAGAGCCATCTGACCCAGCCCAGGTTCAGATCCCAAAAGAAAGAAAGAAAACAAAACACATAATAATCAATGAAGGAAAGCTGTGAACTATAAATACATTTTCAAATCTTATATTTTAAAAATATTGCCTAGAATGAGAAGCCAGGTCCTTCCACAATGAGACTCTTCTTGAAGGATCACTCAGTCCCAGGTTTATGAAAGCCAAGACCCGTGAGAAGGGGGCTGGGGATTGTTGCTTGTACCCCTACATCCCCCCCCAACCCCTGCCCCTTTTAGAGCAACTGTGTATGAGAGAAGATATTAAAGAGGTATCTGTTGTTTGGCGATTTTGCTAAGTCTGTCTTCACTACTTCGACGCTGTGCATTTGCTAATTTGGAGGCCTGGCCATTGACAAGCTTGCTCCATACACCTGCAAGCAATTTGCCGGCTCCGGTACCGGAGAATTGCAGAGATGGCAGCTCGCACCTATTTGATTTTTTTTTCCCTTTTCTCAATGCACAGCAAATTTGGCTTTCAGTGCGTTATCTCTTTTGTTAATGCAAAAAGATTCCCTGGGCGAAAAAATTGCTCATAATTACCAGAGAGATGGGGAAACTGCATTAGAATAAATAAACCTGAAATTACTGTAATTATGTTGTGTTTGATGGGCCCGGCTTGTAATCAAGAAGAGAATACAGTGAAATGATGCTGACCCTCTTGGATTTGCAGCTGTACGCGCACTTTGGGGTCTTTTTTTGCAGAAAAGAGTCATTTTGATAATCATTAAGCTGTGTGTAACCTATTTCAGAAGTGTTTTAAAATGAGGTTCACATTTTTTGAACAAGGGGAAAAAAATCCCAAAATTGCATTTTGCCATTACAGACTCATACATAAGGAAAGGTTGTGTTTTCTAAGTGACAATTGTTAAGACATAATATTCGAAATCAGTATTTAATCATTATAATGAGGTATTGTTTAAATATAACCACCTTTAGATTATTCATAGTTTAATTAATATACTCATTATGAAAATCTTTGAATCAGATATTTGATGATCTACTTGTCAGTAACAAGGCAGCATTAATTAGGCCTATATTGAGATTAACATTTTTTAAAAGTGCAACTGCTTATAATTATAATAGAGCCTAACTAAAGACCGCCTTCGTTGAGCTAAAACTAATAATTTCTCTATTTGAACTGTTAGCAAGAGATTATTAAATTAGTATAAGCTAATATCTCGAAATATTAAAATCCGCTTGACCAAACAGATTTTTGCCTGTGGCTTCAGGCGCTGGGCCCTGGCTGCCGCATGGGAGTCGGATGCAGGGAGCAATCCGCCAAAACCTCCCCTCTAGCAAAGTCACGTCTCCAGGGAAAACCAAATCCCGGAAGGTCCCTACCCCCGCGCTGGAACCCGGCCTGGGAAATCAGCTCTCTCCCAGCTTGGAGTCCTGTCGGCTCTGGGCCTCCGGTCTCGAGATCTTATCTCCCCCATTTGCGCTCCGGGTTCTGGGGGCCCGCGGGACAGGACACGCTCCTATCCCAAGTCCTTGAAGGGGCCTCGAGGTCCCCGGCTCGATCCCCCACTACTTTCCCAGCTCCCTCCATCACCGCCCCTCCACCACATCCCCTCCCCTTCCCAAAGGGCATCAGAAGAGCCTGGAGCATCTGCTCTTTCACCAGCACCAATTGAAAAATGGGTGCTTGTCACAACACAGATCACTGACTTCCCTGCTTTGCTCCCCACTGCGCGCTGCAAAGGGCCCCCCAAAGTGGAGGGCCAGCCCGCAGGAAGCAGTGTCGGAAGGCAAATGCGAGGGAAGCGGGAACCGATCCAAGCAGCCCTTCCCAGCCCGCAGCTTCCCCGAGTTTCCTCAAGCTCAGCTGCTGGCTCTGGGGCTGGGGTCTGGGTGAGACGCTGGGCCACCACCGGGTAGAGGGAGCCAGGCCGGTTCTAGCTGGTCGGAGTCCACTTTCTCCTGGAAAGAACTCATCAGAGAGTTCCCCTTGGAGGTGCCCCCTTACTGGCCTGACCTCGGGACTTTCGAGCTAGCGTGGGGTGGGGGTCTTCGGCCAGCTCCTGCGTTCCAAGGAGTCAGCGGAGCCCTTCTGCCCCTCCCTTGGCATTTCCATCTGAGGCGCAGAGAGAAGCTGGGGGTCGTTAGGCGGGAAGGGGCCTCTCGTAGAGGATGGGTCCGATGGGTGGGAGTGGCTGTGAAGGGGTCCAGGTGGCGCCTTGGGACTGTCCCCCGGAGCTCAGTGATTGACTGGGTGTAGCCTGACAGACGTGTCCTTCCGGCGCTTTTCCGGTGTCTGGCCGTGTCTTTTCCGAGTCGGGATCGAGAGCCCTGCAGGCAAGCAAAAGCCGGAAGGCCAGATCGCAGCGAAGGCGAGGGGCCAAGCCCAGTGTCTCTGCTTTCAGTCTTCTAGGCTTCCGGCGAGGTGACTGGGTGTGGGGGGCACTCAAGTCTCCCTTACCGGCTGCCTTTGAGCTCTGCTTTCATCTCCTCTTAACCAGCCTTCACAGTCCCTAGGTTCCAGAGCCCCCACCCCTCTTGTGGTACAGCACCTGTTCCTGATCCACCACCCCCCCTCCCCATGGCCCCTGGCCAGAGAGTCGCTGCCCACCCTGCAACCCAGGTAGGGATCCGACCCCTTAGGGGTCAGAAGCAGGGCAAGATAAAGGGTCCCAGTGGCTAGGTAGTGCCTTGCTGGTGATTCTGGTCTGTCTGGGGCCTGCCGGTATCTGTCCCCAGAGGTGGAGGCTTGGCCCAGACCACAGCACCCCCTCATACAGCACACCAGACAGCAGTTCTTTCTCGAAACCATAATTTTACTGTCTCAGAGAAACTTTATAACTTATTTACAAAGTTCTTTTTTTCCCAAGATACAAATCAATAAGTTAACATTCTCAATATAAAACTAAACTTTGACATAGAGAACACAAAACACGGTTGATTTCAACTGATCACATTTTCCAAATTTCACAAGTAAAATGTCAAGATTTTCATTTCACAAAGCATCGGGTTTTACAGCCACATACAACAGAACGGAAAATAGCTAAGCTTGTGCAACATGTTTACGGAACAATAATAATAACAATATAATTAACAACAATAATAATATGTACAGCGATTAGATCCTGCACTGGAGACTAGGCGCCCAGGGTGCTGCCTGACATTATTCTGTGGTCGAGCCTCTGGGGATTAGTGCTGCTTTTGTCTTCCTTTAAAGCTCACTGGCTCTAGGGCACTCCTTTCTGCCTGCCTGTTTTTTCTTCACTGCCCATCGGTCCTTTCCCTTGCTCCCCAAGGAGGGAATTAGGATTTTCCTTCTTGTCCAGGCAAAGCGACCGAAGTGTTTTTCCCGAGATGAGAAAATTGTGTTGGCTTCATTTCTCTTTTTTTTCTCTTTTAAAAATAATACAGAACATGTAAAAATGCAAAACATTAGGTTCCAACCTCTTCATACCAGCGAAGTACAAAAGTTACGGTAGAAGTTAAAAATCACCAGGTCCTCCTTAATCGTTTTTCCGGGTGCGTTTAAAGTAATCGGTGCTTTTGGACCGTGCGCTCCTTGCGCCCCGCAGAAATGCGAATTGGCCAACATTCACCCTCAGGCGAAGTCCATTTCTCAATAAATAAGAACCCCTCCCTTCATTTCCCCCAATTCCCGAACGAGCTACACAGATGGTCAGGCAGGCCCAGGAGAAGGTCCGACTGGACAAAACGTCCCAGCAAGCGGAGCTGGACCGCGCGGCGCCCGAGCCTCTTCGGACCTGGTGACTTTTTTCAGAGGCCGCAGAATGAGGACAGTGGACGGACGAGAACCTCGACTTCGGCAGCGCACAGATACACAGCGAAAGGAGACAAGAGACGGACAGAACAGAAAAGAGCGTTTGCTTTTTCTACATTGTTTCTGTTTTTCCTGATAGTCCCACACAGCTGAGGGCCGGCGGGTCGGGTCCGGCTGGCTCGTCTTGCTGCTCTGGCTGTCTCGGGCAGTTGTGCCTGCGCCCCGAGGCCGCTATCTGCTGTCGCCGCGCGGCGCAGGCCCGGGCGAGGGCGAGCGCGCGGGCGCGGGGAAGTCGCCGGTCCAGATCGCGCGGGACTCCAAGGAGGTGGCGGGCGTCCTGCCTTCGCTGTCCCTTCTTCTTTCCCGCCGGGCCCTTCTCCCGGGGCTTGCGGACGGGGTAGATGGACCGAGGCGGGAGGGGCCCGGGCCGGGGGAGACGGAATGGAGGCGGGAGGGTGAGGGCGGGCAACCTCACATGAGTTGGGGTTGCTGCATAGCTTCTTGGTGCGCCGAGGGGTACCACGACGTGTAGCTGGGGATGTAGGAGCCCGCGCTGCCGCCCGAGCCCTTCCCGGATGAAGAGTTGGGGTTCCAGCCAGGTGGCACTGGCGGGGAGGCGGCAGACAGCGCCCGGCCGTTGGCCAGCGCGCTACCCTCCAGAGCCGCCCCGCCCTGCTTCATCAGTTTCTTGAACTTGGAACGCTTGTTCTGGAACCAGATCTTGACCTGCAAGAGCGGACAATAACGTGACTCGGCTAGGTCCATTGTGCCTACCGTGGTCGTCGGGGAGACAAGGGGGCTGTGCGTGGGACAGTGGAGGAAGGATTCCCCTGGCTGCCCTGGAGACTGGGCAGCTCCCCACCGGAGGAGCAGAGCCCTCCAAGAAGAGCCCCTCATCACCTATAAGAATCAAAGCCTGGCAGGCCAGGCTGCCGGCCGCCGGTGGCCCGCAGGGGCAGCTCTCAGAGAGCCAAGGGGGCGTGGTGGTGAGGAGTGAGGGGGCGGGGGGGGGGGATCCAGACCTTCGCTTGTCAGGGACTCAGCTCGACCCTGGCAACAGTCGGGGGGAAGAAGCAGCGCCTGCACAGCATCGCGTCTTCAAGTCCAATAGGAACATCCATTAAAGGATCGAGTGGAGGAAAGGAGTGGAGGAAATTTATTTGCAATGCCACCTACTTTCTCCTTGCTCCATTCTTTCTGCCCTTGAGTGAGTTAGGGGCCAACTGAGGAGGCCAAAGGTTTTGTTTAAACTTTTCATTTGGACTTAAAATCAACCTTTAAGTGTCTTAGTGTCTGTTTGCTCTCCCCAGCTCCGCTCCAAATCCCGGCCCAGACGTTGGAAATCCGCGCCAGTCCTGATCAGAAAGCCCATGGGCTCCCCAAAGTCTTAAGCGCAATCGGGAAGGAAGGTCCCGTTTCTCCTCCAAGGTCTGGGACATGGGAGGTGAGAAGGCGGAGGAAAGGATTTCCTCCTACCCAAACCCGGTGAGGAGGAGGAGGAGGAGGAGGAGGAGGAGGAGGAGGAGGAGGAGGAGGAGGAGATGGGAGACAGAGGCTCTGGCTGGCCGGGCCCTGAGTGATTAGCCACACACTTTAAAGGCAAAGAAGGGATTAAGCCCAGCGTCTATTGTTCCAGTTGTTCGGGCACGTGTGACCTCAGAGTCCCCAAACAAACGTCTAGGGAAATCCTTCCTCGCCCTAATCAGATTGTCCAGGGACTGAGGGCCGGGCGGCAGACAGCGTGGAATACAGAGCTCAGCGACAGAGCCAGGGCAGAGAAAACAAGGAAGGAAGGAGAGACGCCAGGAGAGCCAGGAGTGGGAAGGACACACACACACGCACGCACGCACACGCACACACATGCACACAATCTCTGACCCTGAGGCGCAAAGAGCAAGACAAGAAGCTCCGGGCGCAGGCCGGCCGCGGAAGCCCGCTTGGCAGAGGGGGCAGCGGCAAGGTACCTGCGTCTGCGTGAGTCCCAAGGAGGCCGCGAGCTCCGCCCTCTCGGGCAGAGCTAGGTACTGAGTTTGCTGGAACCTCCGGTTCAAAGCCTGCAACTGCAAACTGGAATAAATCGTCCTGGGTTTGCGGATCTTTTTCCCCTTGCCATTGAAGCGCACTTCACCGCCTTCCACCACCGTGCTCTTCTCGGAGTCAGCCCCTGGAGGGACAGCAGAAGCGGAGGGCCACTGTTAATGCAGGGACAGCCTTTAGTGAGGGGAGCCCAGGGCCGGTGGCAACCGAGGGGTGGCGGTGGCTGGGCTCAGAGAGAACGCTCAAGAAACTCCGAAAGCCAGGGAAGTGTCCCATAAAGTCCGAGGGCCAGACCCGGGCCGCAGCAGGCGGACTGGGGCAGTTCCCAAACGTGTAGTTCCTGCCTTTGCAGGGAAAGTTTGCTATTTTTGCAGGCGGTAGTTGAGGTTTAATTACCCTTAATTGCATACATTGTTTATAGCGCTACGCAATAAATAATTACTGAGACTAATACGTGCACATGTGGGTTTCTGTTTTCCAAAGGGGCATTGTGTGCTCGGTGCACAGAGCCGCCCAGAGGCCCAGACAGTTCCAGGGGACGCTCTCGGATTTATTCTTTACTGGATAGTTGCGAGTTGGGTGGAATTTTGAAAATTTTTTTTCTTTGCTATGACAAGGACCCATAGATTGATACCCGAAACCTCCACTGCTCCGGCGCCCTCCCCACCCCCTCCTCCCTCTCCCCCTCTCCCTCCTCTCTCTCTCTCTCTCTCTTCCTCCCCCCTCTTCCTCCCTCTTTTTCTCCCTGCTTCTGTCCCTCGCTCCCTTCGTACCCTTTCCTCTCCCTCTCCTTCTCCCTAGCAGGCGCACGTACCTGGGTCCTCCAGGCGGCTCTGGGCGAGGCTGGCGCTGCCCGGGTAGGACTGCACCGAACTGATGTAGGGGCTGGACGCGTGGCTGCTGACCGAGTTGACGTAGGGGTAGCCCAGCGGTCGGGAGAAAGACGAGGCCGAGCTGTAAGCGCCGTCGGGCTGCGAATGGCCCGCCGAGTGTAAACAGTGCATGGAGTAGTGCCCGTGGGACATGGGAGAAGGAGACATTTGCTGGTTGGGTGGCCCAAACTCCATAAACACCGCCTTGCCCGACACGGGGCTGTTGAGACTTTCTGGCATGGTGGTCATGGTCATCTCTTCTCGCGGGGTCTGGGTGTGGGTCTCTCTCTCTCCTCTGCTTCCCTTTTGGGGGTCTCTGTGTTTCTCAGGACAGGAAGGAACCCAATTTAAGCGGAACAGGGGTTTTCACTTTCCATTCATAAGAAAATGGAGTTTGTCTCTTTGAAAAGTCTAAGCATGATGCTGCCGAGCTCCCCAAACTCGCTTCAAAGCTTTGACTCAGCCAAGGTCATAAATATTCATGAGCTGGCGGAGCTGATTGGTCCGCTGTCTTGCATAATCACCGGGGATTGGTCCGAGGCGCTCCGGCTCCGCTGGACTAGAGCGGGCGAGGCGGCCCGGCCTCGGGAGAAACGCGTCCACACTTCCCGGCCGGGGCTCCTCTGCAACAGAGCGCGCCGCGTGGGGCGCACAATGGGCTGCAGCACCCGCGCCGGGACCTCCGCGGCCCGCGGCTCCTCAGCCTCCCGCCTTCCCCGGCGCGCCGTACTTCCCAGAAACCCACCAGCGGTTCGGCGCAGCCGCCCTCCCCCCACTACTGTCCCCACCCTCCGCCCGCCCCCAACACCCAGACAGGGGCATCACTTCTCCCAGCCGCCGTCACCCGGTCCAGCGCTCAGCTAGGGCTCCGGAGCCCGGCCGAGGCCTCGGAGCGCGAAGTCGCGCACGGGGGTGGGGGTGGGGGCACCGGCGGCGGCCAGCCGCGCGCTGTCCTCCCGAGAGTCGTGTGCCTAGCGCAGCGCTCCCCTCGATGGCATCTCCCGGGCCTGGGTCTGCTCTGCCACATCGCTGGGGGCAGGTTTGGGGCCCTCTGGGCGAACTCACTCACTCGGCCGCCGCGCCGCCGCCGCCGCTCCCTGGGGCCCGCTCGCATTGCTCCAGGCCCTGCTGGCCACTCCAGCTCGAGGCTGCACCGGTCTGATTAAAGCAGTGCGCGCGGAGAGCCAGGAACCCGCGCTTCTCCTCCCAGGAAAGGCGGCCGCACCGCCCCCTCCCCCCAACACACACCCCCTCTTTCCCTCCCAACCTTCCTCCGCCTCCCCCTCCTCCTCACTCCCTCTGCGCTGAAAGCCCTGGACTCACTCGCCCCAAGGGCGCGGCGCAGAGTGGAGCCGAGGAGCCGGCGGGCTCAGTTTGGCTTTAGACGCGGGTCCCAGGTGGTCAGTTTCCAGCCTCGCCGGGTCTGGCGAGAGTACCCCGGGTTTAGGAGTCCTGGGGAACACCGAAACCCACGGCAAAAACAGGCCAGTGGGAGGCTCGCATGTCTTTGTACAGTCGTGTCTCTCATTGTCGCCCAGGATCCTCCTCATCTTCAGTGGTCAAAGCGGGCGCCACTGGGCCTGGGGGCAGGGCTAGCAAAGGCTGACACTGCGCCTTCTATCTTCTGGGGCGCTAGGTACAGAAAAGCGCACAAAAGCCCCCCGCCGCCGCCACCACACAGCCGCCCCCACGAGGCGTGGCGCGCACCACGCTGCCTGCTAGGGACTGCTGGTTCCCCATCCCGCCAGCCCCACGGTGAATCCCAAATTACTTTGTTAGGTAATTAGAAAGTGTTGATAATTATTTCTTTCATAATTTAGCGGTGTGACGGGAACGGGGAAATGATCTTGTGAAAGTTCACACGTGCAGATGTATTAGTTACTGATTCATTTGATTAAATGGTAGTCTCAAGTGCTCCGATCCGCAGCTGAAGGCGCCCCATTAGCATAACACTGATGTTTAATTTTCATACGCATAATTAGCCATATATTTAACACTAATAGCAACATGCAGCCTTTCAGCGTTAAACAGCCCGGGATTTGATCTGGCCTGAGCTGAACCTTCGGCGATGCACCTTCCCCTGTCTGGAGTGCGCAATGATCACAGGACAAACCTCTGTAATCAAGCACATTTTGGCAGAGGGAACACCAATAAAAATGAACATTCAAAACAAATTACATCGTGCTGTCGTTACAGATATTAGTGGAAGGGGCTTCTCTCTTTTTTAACTTGTGTAGCCGCAGCTGCTGCCCGCGGAATTCCTCTCCTTTGGTTTAAGGGCATGATGTTGGGGGTAGCAATATTTCAGGCAGCGTGGTTGGAGCAAAAAGAAAAACAAAAGCAAAAAAAAAAAAAAAAAAAAGACTTCAAACCAATAACGGGTTTGCCAACGTTTAAAAAGATTTTTTTTCCCCTTAATCACCGAACCACACGGTGATGCTTTGTAGCAACAACCAGCTAATGACTCCGCCACCAGACTACTCTTGGAGCCGCTCGACTCCTCTTGATTTTCTTGTTGCACTTGTGGCTTTAACTGCTCCTTCCTAGAGCCTGTTTCGGGGTGTGGAGTGAGGTGCGGTGCCCCCCGCACAGCGGCGCGGACGCCGCCCGGGCCCCTGGTCTTTCGCGCGCACCTATAGCCGGGCCCTGCCCACGTAAGTGATTGCCTCTGCGGGCGCGGGGTCGCGGTTGGGACCGAGGGAAGTGGCGGTTGACTTCGGGCGCTCAGGGCGACGCGTGAGGAAACCCGACGGCTAGGTTTCTTCCAGAGAACTGCAAGATGTGGGAAGGGGAGAGGGAGACGGCCACAGGTCGCGACTGTCTACAGGGCTCTCGGTCCACCTCTGGAGGGGGGGGGGGGAATCCAAGCCTTTCCAGCGCAGGGGACAGGGCTGGCTCCGTGGAACAAAGGACTCGCACGCGCCCCCTCAGGAAAAGGTTTCAGAGTCTTGTTTATGTTAGAAATGAATTATATGTGGGCGAGGGAGTCTCTACATTGGGGAATTATTTCCTATCCGCAGAGAAGCGGGTCCCGGGAGGGAAGGCTGAGCCGGGGCCCTCGGGAGCGGAGACACCCGGCCTTGAGTAGTTTCCGAGTGAGCGATCTTGTCTCCACTCTAGGAGGCCAGAGAGGATCCCTCCCCCCAACCCCCCCAAACCCCCGCTGCTAAGACACCTGTTCTGAAACGTTGGTTTGCTAAGATCTTTGCCTGCCCCAACTCTGTGAGGAAACAAAACTCTCACATTTATCCTGAGAGTCCCGGATTCCAAGTAGAACCTGTTGGAGACACCGCAGGACCCGCACCCGGTGGTAGTAGCCGTAGTAGCCGTAGGCATGCGTGGGCTGAAATCCCAATGGCCCCGGGGGGATGTTTGGGGCCAGTTCATCTGGGAGGTGACGGCGGTGGTGCACGCGGTATTTTAAAATCTGCTTTCTAACTTCAACTTCAAAGCATGTTAAACGGAGTTCGTTCTAATTCAAGTTTGTTTCCTACGGAGCTGAGTATTGGCTGGTGCTGCTATATATACATACATGTGTGTATAATGTTTAAATTAGGCTTAAACTAGTTACTTTAATACATAGGATTATGAACCTGTCCCCAAAATACTTCCACCTCAGAACAATTGCTGCACAAGCAGCATGTTATCCCAGTTTATGGTAAAATCCTGTGGCCCTAATAAAATTATTCTTGAGGAACTTGGAGTAAACTGATCCGTAGATAAGATAAGAGGCTAACCGTTGCAATCTGATTGTTCTAGGAGAGAAGTGCAATCATTATCTGGCAAACCTCTCCCAAGGCCATCTGGGCCTGGTTCCTCTAGAATAGGATTGTTTCAGAGCTGCAGCCTCAGCCTTGAGGCTTTTGCTTGGCCAACTCTCAAGCATCCCCAAAGTTTTTCTATGGTCCTTGTAAATCTTCAACCCCTCCCTCGCCTTTTCCAGCTCTCAGATCCACTTGAATTGGAACCACTTTGGTCCAAATTCTACATCCCTGGACACAGAGAAAGGGAGTTGGAGGGGCTGGGGACACCTAAGAGAATCCAAGTTCAGGGAAAAGCTTGAATTCGCCAATTTTCCAAGTGCACTTATTGGCCTCAGTTTCCCATCTCTTCTCCACTCTGAGTGTCACAAAGGTGAGCTGCCTCTTGGGTCCTGATCACAGAGGTCACCTGTCATGACAACTACAGGTGCTCACATTTCCTTGATGCTCTCCAGCCCAAGCTATATTTAGGGGGTGGCAACTTTGCAAAACCCGTTTCAGGACAAGCAAAAGCTAGCACAACCCCTGACTGCCCAGACACCGGGACTTCACTGAACATAGTTCTTTAAACCATGATCAGAGGGGGGATAGTTTCTATATGGTCTGCTAGATGCCCAATACCTCTTCACCTGAGCCCAGGTGTGAACAGGTGTTGGGGGGGAGGTGCTGAGGAAGGAAGGGTATTCTAATCAGAAATGGGCCTTTGGGAAATGCAGAACGTGGGCCTTTGGATTTCCTGCTTCTGAAGCAGGTGGAGCTGTGGGCTTGCCAGCTCCAATCCCAACTAACTTGACCCTAGCCCTCAAAAGTTTCCGTATCTCCCCCTGCTGGGATCCTCTGGGTCACCATCAGAAGAGCACAGTCCAAAGGGGGCCAATACAGGGAGAGGCCCGCTTAGGAGTTAGACCAGTTGGACACTGTTCACATCTGGATGGCTGAGGCCGATATTCTAATTCCTAGTGCAACAGACAGTCGTGTGTGTGATGGAGGAGTGGAGAGGGGTTCTCAAAAGAAACCTCAGGGATGGCCACTTAGGACAGGATGAGGGACACGTAGGAGGAGCCACAGGGGACTGGCAAAGTCATGTTTTTGGACTGATAGAGCTCTGTAGAGACCAGGCCCAGGTTTCACAGGCAGGGGAATGTTTGTGACCAACTCCTCTGTTTTTGGGCTAATCTTTTCATCCGCAAAAGCAGCTATGAAGGGAAAGAACTGGAAGGGCTGGGGTGTGCAACGTGGGATCCACAAGACCGGAAAAAAGAGACAGAAAAAAAAAATTCCCAGCTAACATCCAGGCTCATTTTTCCCCCTCATATGCACATGTAAGAAGTTTAGAGATTCAAAAATTAACCACCCACCCTCTCTCCCCAGTAACTGTCAGAGACACAAGGAGCACAGACACAATGGTTAAGAAGGAAAAGCTTTTTACTTGGGCAGAGTCAAGACGAGGAAAAAAACATGCATCTCTAGAAATCCCTCATCTTCCAAATGAGGGCGTCCCCACTCTCCTCCAGAATCCCCACCCCCCACCCCCAGTGTTAGGAAGCTGAGCCAGCTCCAGGATCCATCTTTCTGAAGCCGCTCGCCCAAAGCAGGGCTTGAGATCCGAGTTCCCAACTGCCCCTAAACCCCACAGGGTTTTCCAAGACTAGACGCTAGGTTGGTTACTGTGTGAACTGCCCTTCGCCTGTGTCTTTTATAAAGTTCTCCAGCTAGATTTCAGCAATTTGGGATAAAAAGCGCCTGGCCTCTGAGACCTTCGGGCGGCTCCTCAGGCCTCCTGCGGCAGTTTGGTCAGGATCTCCACGCCCCCCGACGTGATGAGAACTGTGTGCTCGAACTGGGCTGACCTGAAACACACACAGCAGCTGTCAAAGCGCAACTCCCCCCCCCCCCCCCGGCTGCAGGGTAGGGGTAAGGGGGTGGGGAGCAGTAGCCCGCCAGGGCTGTCGGACGAACCTTCCCTTCCCATATAATTTAAAAGCAACGGCACCTTTGATTGTCCAGGGAGACCACAGTCCATGCATCCTCCAGGACTTTAAATTCAGGCGATCCCTCGGTGATGATTGGCTCTGTAAGAAGGAAAATATTTACTGCAGTGATCTAATCAGATTCTTGTCAAATATTGTTTCTGTTTCGGCTGATTATGAAAAAAGAGAATAAGAAGGTTCTCCTCCCCTCCCCCCAAGTGCTTCCCCCACGGGTTCATGTTGTCATCTCGCAGAGGCTGATAATTGATGTTGCTTACATAGTATACTACAAACTAAACAGTAGGGAGAGGAAACACTACCGCATTCAAAAATGTATGAAGTTGCCTAGTTCGTAATTTTTTTAGAAAAAAGGGCATTTTAATCAAGCCTTAATTAGGACCCTGCGGATAATAACCACCCAAACACCAGTCCCTCTTATAAATACCAGTCAGTTTTTAAAAATATTTGAATTTTTAAAACATGCTCAAAATGTTCATTAATCAGCAAATAACAATTTTCTTATTTCACTCTAATTGCTTCTCCATTAAGTACCACAGTCAGAAATATGATGCCTCTGAGGTCTTAGGTGATTGGAATTTGGTGGTGACACCAATCACATGATCAGCCAGGAATGGGCAGCCAGAGACTGCATACCACTTGCTGACAGAGAGCAAGGGACATAATCGCTTCTAGTTAGTGGGTGTTAATTTAAAAAAAAAAAAAAAAACGAAAAAATAAAACAAAAAAAAACCCTCAAAAAACCCCAACCACAAAACAAAAAAATGAAAACAAAACAAAACAAAACACCAAACGCCACATTATGCTGGTAACAGAATTAGAGGCTGGATGGCTGCCGTCTCCTAAATGTGTCGGTAAGTATCTGATTTAGGAAGATGGGACTCCAGGATATTATTTAATCAGATTTGCTATGCATCTGAATTATTTCATTACACTGATTGGCTTTATTATTCCTTCACGGGACTGCCTGGCCCAGGCCAGCGCTGCTGCCTCCACCAGGAGAGCCCCCACTCTCTGAAGGGGAGCTTGGGCACTGACCTATAGTGAATGCCATTCCCTCCTCCATGAGTAGATCGCTGTCATTTGCTGCAAAACAAAATATATGGGGTAGGGGGAGTGGGAAATGGAGAGAAAGAGAGAAACACAATTAGAGGGTCAGGACTGCTCAAAAACCTTGGTCATTTTATTTATTTTCTTTTAGGGTAGAAGGAAGGATGGAGATTTCTAGCATCCTGGTGGTGGCTACCACCAACAGGTTAAACACAGGGGTTCTGGGCCTTAGCTTCGGCATTTTCTTTGTTGGGGGGGTCAAGACCCCTAGGAAGGGTGCACCAAAGCCTAGCAGAGGCAGCCTGGGTGCTCCAGACACCTGTTGGATACCCGCCCCCCACCCCCACACACCTGTCCCTTGTCCACTTGCTTCAAGGTCTCCTGATTCCACTGGGTCCTAGACCCTGCCCTCCTACCCCAAAGAGGAAGATATCTTGGGGAACTGACACAAAGGGAAGGCAGCCACTTAGCGGTGCATATTGGAGCGGGAAGCTAGGACAGGAGTGACTTGCAATGACTCCAAGTGTTGGTGTAGGGTGGGATACACGCCTGAGATGCTCTGTCTGCACTCCTGCCGGGACCTCTTCTGTGTTGCTTCGATGGGGGAGAGGGGTCTCTAGTACAAAAAGAATTCTGATCTGCTGGGTCTATGGGGATCTTCCAGGGAATGGGTTCCAGCTGGTAGTCCCTCCAGAGACCGTTCCCATCCTAAGCACACAGGTCAAGGCCTAACTTTCCTTTGGTCCCTGTCCAACTGTGCAGCTCTCCTGGGGGCACTCCATAGAACTGCCTCCTACCCTCCCCCAAATCCTCCCACTGCTTCTGGCCCACCCTTGTGTTTCTCACTGTAGGGTGCACACCCAGGCAGTGAAAAGCAGAAGGCTCTGGGGAAGGAACACAAGCGTGGCTGTGATCTAGAAATCACTAACGGGTACATGCTGCTAAATAGATCAGCTGTCAACGCTGTGTAGGATGTAATGAAGTTTAACCACAACAGTCAGCGGTTAGAGAAGGGGTAGAAAAAGAAAAACAGAAAGCAGTCATATGTGCATGCTGCTGGGACATTGATGCACTGGCATTTTGTTTTCAGTTAACTTTTTCTAGGCAAATATCCCTTGTGTCTTCTAGCTATCACCTTTCGTGGGAAGACAAAAGACAAAATAAACCTTTCTTTGCGATTGAAACTGCGGGCTCTAATCCAGTAACACTGTAATGTGCTGGTTACAATTAAGTAACCCCCCGCCCCCACACATGCATACACACCAAAGGATGATACATTCAAAGTTACTGAAACATCAGGAGCAAAACTGCCTTTTCTGGATCCCATTCAATAGCTTTCTTACCATGATGCCAAATTTCTGGATGTCCATGAAAGTAAGATCCTATCCCATGTCCCACAAAATGTGGACAGACTTGCAAACCATTCTGATGAGTTATGTGGCTTTAAAAGTGACCAAACAAAATATTTAATTAAATTAGGTAAGTTTTTAATGCATACTTAAAGTCACTTTAAAATAGTTCCCGAAAGCGAAAAAAATCAGTTATATTTAGAGTCAGATGGTAACATTACTGTTTTCATTATTCTGGAATCATTAAAATTGTTGCCATTGTGTGTAATGACTCCCTTTGGGTAAACTAAGAAAAAAGGCATGTATCTAACGTAGTGGTTTGCTTCATTTACCTTAGTACAGCACTCAAACAAGGTCACTTTTAGATAACAGATGAGTGTTATCTCATATATAGATCAATATACATAACCAGATACATGTGTATAGAATGCAGGGAATAAAAGCTTGCCTTGTTTGTATGAGGTTTCACAAAAGACTGCAAGTTACTACTGACTTGGGAACCAAACAGAGAAACAAAAATGCAATCTAGAAATGTGACCTTCCTACTTTTATAATTCCCTTATTTTGGCCTATTTCAAAACACTATACATCTTAGAAACAGAAACACTCATACAAAAGATCAAACCTGCTTTGTCAGTATTCTTAAAATACTCCAAAACTTTGTGATCATTGGGATTCCCACTCAAGACCTATATCATTAACGAAATTCAAACAGAATGTCTTTTAATCACTGTGATGCTTAAGAGAAGCTGGTATTGTGATTCCTAATCCTTGATGCTTTAGTAGTTATTTCTACATGCAAATATACTGGGTTCCATCTATTCCCTATAAATGAAATATGACATATAGATTCCAACCCTAAAATCTTCACCTACAAAGTTAAGAAGCTGCCTTTGAAATCAGGTGAACATATTCATTTCTAGGAGCACCACAAAGACTAGAACATATATACCATTGACAGTTATATTTTCATGTGGATAACGGGCACAGTGCCCTAACCCTAACCATAAGAATGAACCAAGATTTACAGGACTACTCTTTAAATTCTTACCAAACTCAGCATTCTCAGATCTCAAGCTAGAGTTTCTAACAGACCCTCAGTTTAGTGTACCCTGAATACACTCTGAACACATTTAAGCTGCATCTCCAGACCTGCAAGATATCTTCCCTTGGACCAGAATGTCACTACAAATAGCAGATGGACAGCCTCTCATTCAGATTTAATTCCCATGTAACTGGTAGTGCAGAAATAGGTAAGCTAAGCACGTGCTGATGACAGGAATAATGAGTCAACATTTTTATCTCTTAAAGTTGTACCTTATGGTTATAGTTATTTCTGTGTGCTTTCGCACTTTGGGCAGGAGGCAGAAAAACTTTTCCAAGATGTTTCTACTTGTGCCACAAAATTTCTGAATAAAAACTGAGAAGTAGATAGAGGGTGGAAGAGAGACTATGAAATATGACAATAATGATAGAATGATGGAGGCTTTTTTTTTTTTTTTTACAAGAATGGGTTCTACTTAAACCTATCAATTATGTGACTTCGATACCAACAGACTTCAATGATTCTAAGAACATTCAATGTAAACTGTTCTATTTTCTTTTCTAAACAAAACAAAGCCCCCCCCCCAAAACAAAACAAAACCTGGGATCTAACTGATTGGCAGGCATCACAGCTACATCTTAAATGTGTGTTATAATGGCAATCTTCATTTTAATTTCTGGTGAAAGGAAAGGAAGAAAGCCCATTCTGAAAAAACACTTGGGTTCCCTCCACCATCATCCCTCTCATTCCTCTTCATAAAAAAAAGAAAGAAAAAAAAAAAGCTGTGCAATTACAAGGTAGCTAAAGATATTTGAGTGCATTCTCCTACAACCATTTACTGCCTTGATCCTGCAGGAACTTATGGTTATAGGAGTATCACAGAATGTATGTGTCATGAATGCAAGGGTAAGGATTTCAGAGCCGGGTGGAAAGAGGAAAAGAACACAACAAATTTCATTCAGCTCCTTGGCTAAGCACCCATCTCAATGCTTGACTCCCAGAAGCTAAGTGTATACTTCTCTCTGTTTTTTTTCAGGGTATTTTCTTTTTGGATTTGTAGTGAGATTTTCAACACATACTTACTGGGACTAAATGCCATGAAATCGCATTAAGGTTCCTAATTACTACTTAAAATAATGCTTCTTTTACCACTTTGGAAAATATGGGAAGCACAGAATTATTTACCTGTTTCTAGGGTTTAAATCTAATTTCATAGAGACAATCCAAGTGACCTGTAATAGCAGATCCTGCTCTAACAGGAAAGCAAGTAGCGGTAACCCTGATTGTGGCATGGGGGGGTGTGGAACATGTGTGCTTCTCTTAGCTTGTGTGTTGAGGAAAATGGAACCAGCTGGACAGGCAGGGGTGCCCAAGAAATGCCTCCGTTGCACCCCAACACCAGCCATCTCAGGGCCATGACCATTTCTGAGCACAAGGGTCTTCTTGTCCTGGACATTCCACTCATGAGATCTGCCTTCTTTCTGCTGAAATCTACTGAAAAGAATTCTCCTGGCATTAGCTGTTCTGTTCTGATTTTCCCTAACTAAAAATCCTCTCAGACAGTACGTTCATCCATGAGCTGGAGCATGTTTATGACTCAGAGTCATAGGGACTATCTGGGGTGGGAAGAGAGGGGAGAGGAAGAAGAAAGTGTATTAACGTAGTCTATGAACTTTCTTTTATATTATACTATTATTATAGTTCATGTTTTGGTTATAGTTTTTAGTTGAAAGAGAAATCTCTCTTAAGGAATTTCATCTTGTGACTGTTTTCTTCAGTTCAATTCCCTTTCATGAGGTAGTTTTCCTCAACTGAATTACTGCCTGGAGAAATTAAAACTCTTAATACATTTCATGACTAAGAATACATTCGCCAAGAGGGCTGAGGAGTACTATATTTAAGCGCATCCTCTTCTAAAGAAATAAAAAATGCACATGGAAATAGTTTTATCACTAATTTTACATGAATTTACAGGATTTTTACATGAATCCTATAAAGGGCACCAATTTCCAAATGGTCATATCTCTGATTAAATGGCACCTGATCTTCCAAGTTACAGATTTTTACTTCAGTCTTTCCAGATTTTTATTTTAGGCAGTAAGCACTGAATGAAGGAATGCACAAGTCCAAGGATTCCCTCTAATGACAAGTAATGTTTAAGTACAATTAGTAGTATTTTTGAAAGCCAACAACCGTTTTTGCAAAAGAGTGGTACACGTTCATGTCTCACGCTGGATCACAAATTACTGTATTTTTCTTACAATAGTGCTGAACTTTTATTTGAGGTTTTCTGTTTCCGAAAAGCAGACATGATGGATTGAAATAAAAGATAATTTATTGCAGTGCTTACTTTCGTGTGCAGAGAGAAGCAGTGTAATTGTAATTTACAGTAGCTGTCAAGAAAAATCCATCACGGATGACATTAAAATGACTTATTTTGCCTGAGCCACTTATTGTTTAAATGTGCATAATCTAATAGAAAGAGATTATTTTTAAAAATCTGCTTTATATTCTTCTAAATTAATATCAAAACATATACTTATGAATTAAACATTAAAAACCATTTATTGATACTTTCATCATGACATTTACAACTGTAAGTTTAAATTATTTTTGATTGAACTGTCACATATTTGGGATGCATGAATCTACACATTCACAGTATTCTCATATGCATGGATCATATCATCTAGAGAGAATTACAAATACACAGATTTAGAAATAATTTAAAGCAAAATGGAGGTGCAGGGAGTATAGTAACACTGTAGCCTAAACATCACTAGCCATCCCTCATGAAGCACAAGGGCACAGAGAAAACTCTTTTCATTAAACTATTTTAGCCAGTGTTTCCCCAGAGATATCATCCCATCCTTATAGGCTTCAGAGAATTCCAAAATTTCCCATAAAGATCACTAGGTATTTGGTAACGTACTACTAATAAAAGATGCTTGCATGTTCTTTGCATGGTGTTATCAGGAGAAGGAATTTGTGCGAAAGGTGGTAAATATCTTAAAATAAGTAAGGCTAGTTGAAAGACGTTTGTAAACCTTCGGTCTGAAACGGTTCCAAGTACTTTTGGCTAAAAGGTGGAGACTGTTTATTTACTCCCTTGAGATTTTGCCTGAATAAGAAAAGGCGAAATAATAGAGGTCCCGAAACACTGCCTTAACACACCAGAACAAACATTTGTTAGTCCCCGGTGGCAGACACAAGCCATCTAAACAATGAAATGTATCAGGGTAAAAGTAAAAAGTTCGTTGTCTATTATTTTTCACGTAGTTTTTGTAAGTGTAGTTGTTGAGACTGATCTGGTTTTCAAAGGAGCTTGTACATGCAAATTCATCCTCTGTGAAAACTGACCTTTGCATCCAGATAGCTAAAATCCAATGTCACTTTCAATTCTACTCTTCTTCTTCTTCTTCTTCTTTTTATGTAGCTAGAATTAATGTAGTGAATATGTAATGAAATGCATTATCCTGCATGGAGATTTATCAGATTTTCCGACTGAATGCTATGCTTTGCGAGCACTAGCTGGAGTTCACCTGCATGTTGGTGTGGCGTGTGGCTCTTTTTTGTAAAGAGTTAAGTCGTACACAAAAAAAGGGAACAAAGGTCAGCACCCAGCCGCCACTTGAATGTGAGATTTTTCTTTTTATTCCCCTTGATGTATACTAGGCTCTGTGTTATTAGTCTTAATGATGGAAAATTGTAGTGTTGATACAAATCTTTTTTTCAAAGTAGTAGGCGGGAGCTCCATTTGTTAGTAAGTTTTTTTGTGACTAAAAGCCACGGACAGTACATTTATGTAGCAGTAAAAGGCCTAGATGCTCTTTCCATAGCAGAGCTAATTATTCCTACTGTGACCTTACTGATCTAGCCTGTTCCTAGCACATCTCATCTGCACGCCTGTTCCTCTGTGTAGATGGTGTCAGAGAATATGAAAAACCCTATAATGAAACCATTTTCATGATGGAGAAAGGCTACTGGAGTTGCACTTGCTACAAAGAGGCTCAATTATATGAGTAATTGTGATAATTTTCTACATTCATAGCCTTCAATGGGGAAAAAAGAATGAGAGCCACAAAGGAAAATTACTTTAACAAGAAAGTACAGAGAGTAAAAATGGAAGAAGAGACAAAAAGGGGAAAAAATAACCAGAAAAAAAAGTTTAAAAAATAGATCTGGAGGGAGGAATAGCGAGACAGGGAGAACAACAGAAAATGCTCAAAAGCCCATGTGCAGCTGTGTTGCACAATTAAATTGAATTTTTTTTCCTGCAGTTGATGAATGTGACTACTGCAAATGTGCCTCTGTAGTTAGCTATCATTTGTTGTTCCGTGACAGGAAAAGGATAATTACCTCTCAGAGAGAATCAAAGGCTGACATGCCCTTTAGACACAGCCATGAATGCAGAGCTCGATAGAATGCTTGAATAAGAATCTAGTGTTCTCTGCCCCCTTCTACTGAAGAATAAATTTTGTTAAAATGCAAGAGCACCACCAGTAAATTTGTTGAACCCTAGGTGTTCAAAAATATGAGATATATCTATCGACTCATCCCATTTGCAAAAATAAAACTGCATTTTGAATTCATTTCTATTATATTCATGGACAGTAAGATAGTGAGATATGCATTAAATTTCTTTTCCCAGTAGGGGTCTGATTCAACATTTCCTATGAAAGAACAGAGAGACACTATCCTTTTTTCCCAGGCTAGTTAGCCTATAATTTAAAACTGTCAAAAACACAATTTTGCTCAAAGTCTTCAATAAAAGCTTCTCAGATATAACCCAAAGAGATTTTACTAAAGTTTGATTCAGACATTGTTACAATATTTTTAAAGCCATAAATACATTTAACTGATATTTTACTGCCTTTTTTCTTAAAGTATTTGAGGGCTTACGAAGAAAAAAGGCAGCATCTTTTCAAGGTGACTACGACTTCCATCCTTTAGACAAACGGGAAGTCTTCAATGGTTCATATTAATGAGAACAGTACTTTAAAAGGTACTGATGTGATCATCTTTAACAAAATGTATTACTTTTAAATGAAAACACATATTCTGTATGTCTACTTCAAAACAGTTATGGGGGCGGCGGGAAGATCTAAACGAAGGGAACAGATTATAGGGAAGTCTTGAATTCAGAAAATACACATATACTCAAAAAGCATGCATAGAATCCTGTTTGGAAAATAAGCCATAGTTTACAGGAAAACTGAACCAGACAAGAAAGGACATAAGCTTACCCTTTTAGCCTGTTTGCTAATCCACTGATTTACAAGGTAAGGCCTGCTTGAGCGAATGCTTTTTACCTTTGTATCATAGGAATATGTTTCACCTCATTCCTTTATAAAATTTAGTTTTCCTCCTGTTTCACTACTCAAGAGTTGGGATGTTTGTCCCCTTAGGGGCTTTCTTCCATAGTTGGTATGATTCTGAGTAAAGGAACACCACAGACTAATACGTTGAGCTAAAACTAAAGCAGTCGTATAAATATTGCTTGCTGCTCCTATAAGTTTCCTGCTGACCCGAGTATAATTCACTGTTTTAAAATCTTTTTTTTTAAACCCAGAGAACAACACTGCAGCTTGGCAGTCCACATACTGATATCAGACTGAAATGATGGTTCTGAATCATAAAACATGTCATCAACTTTATACCAAGCCACCAATAACCTTTGTCCCATTTGCCAACCCTCCCTTTACTTGTCAGTGTAAGGCTTACCTGATTGTGTTTCCAATTACAGAGAAGGGAGCCCCTGCTCTGCAAGCTGCAATTGCTTCATCTCTACACCTCCTGGCAACCTCCACTAACTTTTTACCACATTCGTCCACATTGCCCACCAAAAATGTTTCAGAGGTATCTCCATGGTAGCCATTGTAATAGACCTAAACACAGGCAAACGTTTTAAAATATGTCCTTGTTTAAAAATGAACTCTCCTAATGTATATATTGTGTTCATTTATGCATTTAATAGATTCAGATGTTTCATACTTCCAGAATTACTCTGAAGTTTCCCTACCAAAAAAAAAAAAAAAAAAAAAAAAATGTGCTAAAGCCTTACACCTTACAGAAATTAAGAAAAAAAAAAAAAGAAGCCATAAAACAATATGACAAAATTTAAAAATAAATATGTAACTGTATGGCCATTTCAATAGCATTATGATTAACAATGCTCTTAAAATGTTTTGATACCTCATTTTATTTCTGAGAAGACAAAACTATATGTGCATAAGCTAGTGGCCAAAGACACTGACCCACAATTACTATAATATGTCTAAAGAACCCAGAAGAATTTAACATAGTGAAAAGTTTCTTCAGTGTCATGGAGATACACGATCTTTTATTTATCAGTTCTACACTTGGAAGTGACAGATAAGAAGAAATAAAATAGACTTGTCAGTATTTGACATAGGAGAGTTTAGTTCTAAAAACTGAACTAAATTGAATATGAGAATGAAATATGCTATGGAAAAATCCTATCTGGAAGTGAAACTTTAATCAAATGTTCCAGATAGCAGAATGTTAACAGAAAACACTATACATGGGTTTTTAAAGGATAAAAATATAACAAAATAAACTTAAGAATAAAATTACAGAAAAAATAATTTTATCACTTGTCAATGATTTGGAAGGCCCCATAGGATCTTGAAAAATACCAGATTTATTATAAAAATCACTAATAATAAAAACACTATAATAAACAGAGAAGGTAGAAGAGACTGGTTGAAAGCTGACCCTTAGACATAGCGTGGAATTTGCTATTTTGCATAAATTTGACCTATGTAACTATTTTTCACATTTCTCTTTCTCATGAAGTAGAATGCAGAAACTTATATAAAAAAGGTATTTATCTGAGTTTTCTGATTGTTTTAATACTGAGTTAATGTCTTAAATCTGTATAGTATTCTGTACTAAATACTACACTCTGTAAGGGAAGCAGGAAAAGTCGTTATTATGTCTTTACTTTCTAAGTCAGAAAACTGAGGCATACACAAGTAACTTGTCTCAGGTTAGTGGTGGAATACAGAGGTAGATTCAGATTAATATGATGGGTTATTGGCTTCTAATCAAATGTTTTCTCTACTATGTCAAGTGACCTTAACTCCTTGTAATAGAATTTTATACATTTGTTCCCATTTGCAATCCAAGAAAGTACAGGTTTGATGTTATACACAAATATATAACAGTTGCCAATATAAGAGTAATCATTAAAAAAAAAATGCATAGGGGCGCCTGGGTGGCTCAGTCCGAGGACTTTGGCTCTGGTCATGATCTTGCAGTTCGTGAGTTCAAGCCCTGCATTGAGCTCTGTACTGACAGCTCAGAGTCTGGAGCCTGCTTTAGATTCTGTGCTCTGTCTTTCTCTCTCTGCCCCTCCCTCACTCGCACTCTGTGTTTCTCTCTCTCTCAGAAATAAACATAAATTTTTAAATGTATAATTCAGTGTTTTATAACTATTATTTAAGTAAAAATATTTTTAAAAATCTTTATTTTCCTTTTTATGACTTTTGGCTAGCTTTCAAAATGACTACTTGGAAAATACAATATATATGGAAATAACAATACTTTTGAAAGTCTGTGGCAGTTATCTATAGTTAGGATTTGTGCTCCCAAAGTATTCTTGTTTTGTACTTTATTTATTAAACAAATATTTATCGAGCAACTACTCTGGACATCTCATTGTCTATTTTTTAACATTCAACTTTCAAGGGGGAAAGATGCCTATTTTCTGGTGATGTATACAACATGTAAACAATTATAAAATGCATGATGAGTATTTTCTAATAAAAGTATAAAGATCTGATAATGGAGCCTTTCACTTAATAAAATACCTCATAAGAAATATAATTTGTGGGGAGGGATAGAAAAAGAAATATAATTTGTTAAGATACCTACCTGTATGTTTCCTGACTCCTCCAGATTTCTAGACACTTGAAATATTTTACTTTGCTTTATTAGTTTTGCAACTGTGAAATATTTGAATGTTCAAATTGGAATTGTTTATTAAGAGTCTTCAGGAAAACAGAAAAGGCATGGGATGGATGCACTGGAGGCAGCAGGAAAGAGTGTGTTGGTTTCATTCAAAGTGGCAATATTTTATTAGGGGCTGATGAGGTGAGATGATAAATGTAAAACCCCTAAATCAGTTACAATTCAAAAGAAAAGTATATCATGAAAATACTTTATTTCAGGTATACTTTATAAAATATCTCCCTCTACATGATTCTGAGTTGGAAAGATAAACCAACAGAATATATGTGGAGCAAATGTTCAAGTAGTCTAAGTAGGACAAAATGATATATGAAAGAGTATCAGCAATAAAGGAATCTCTGGCTATATTATCATACAAGCTGATAGGAAGACAAGAGGGTGAGTTAATTTAAACAACTAAAAATTTGACTAAACTCAACTGGTGGATGCCAATTTCCACCTCATTCCCACACCTACCTGTGTTCATGGTCTGGATACATACACAACTACTATTAAAAATATTTCCTCATTAACAGAAGCTGTACTCCTTGAATGTTGTCTGTCTCAACTAGTTCTCATCAGTTGATTAAATTTTATTCATTTAAAAATTATTTATTAATCATGAGACATATAGAATTTATCTCCAATCTACATAACCCAAAGGAACCGCTACAAATTTTTTTAGTAAAATGAACTGCCCAAGCCCAAATCATCCAAGTCTGAGACCAGTGAGAGGCTGCGAGAATTAGTAAAGGTTAGAGCTTATACAATTCAAAGTTCCCATGTGAAATCACTTTGGGTTGTTATTTAAAAGAAAGGCTGTTAACCATTTGGTAAAAAGTTAAGTTCGGTGAGAAAACCACTCTGCTTGTATGCTCCAAGTTCAAGGCTCTCTATACCCTCTATACCAGAAATGGAACACGACGTTACCTTCAGGGATTTTAATAAATCTAAGGAACACTGCTAGCAAAAGAGTTGCTGTCCAAATAGACTGACACACACAGGCCAATGTAGCCCCTAATGACAGAGTAAGATAATGACAGGCCCCACTCAAAATCAGCAGGAAGAGGAAGATCAATCTTGGCAGAGTGAAGGAAAAATGCTGGCTTTCTTCGCGTTAGCTCATCTCATACATATCTAGCTTCAGCAGCTGCCCAGTGCTGTGGTGCTCTGCATTAACTACACAGTGGATCAATAACAATTACACCTTCTCAAAAACATGACACATAGCAGGATTGGGTTGACATTTCACTTAGGCCAACATTGATCTCAGTGCATCTGATTCCAGCCCTAAATTCAAGTCAGGCCTGGGTTTACTTGGAATAAACACAGAGTTAAAGACAAAAAAGGAAACCAGCTGCTTGCGTCTGGGTCTAGAAGTAAACAGCACTTCCCTTGGTGCAGTTCACATTTTCAATCCACAATTCTTCCTGTTGCTACCAGCAATTCTGAAGTTGATCAAAGACTATTTTTTATATTATTTACTCACCGTGACATCAATGTTGATAATATCTCCATCCCGAAGAGGTCGACTGAAACATAAACAGAATAAAAACGGTGATAGACAGATCTCAATAAAAGGAATGTAAAAATAAATGCCTAAGACTATCACAACCCCGGTGAGTCACACTGATAATTTAGAGTGGAAGAGGAATAAATGGAATAACTATATCTAATCTTTAAGTTACGTTAGTCACATCAAATATTACAAGACACACATAATAGGAACATATTGCCATTGTTTAAACATCTTTAAAATATTCTTTAAATAAATGTACTTATTAGTTACCTTAATTTTGCAAAGACCTGAAACAACAGTTGATAATCTATATTTGCCTACATTTGAATTTTTATCAGTTATATGGTTAAAATCTAAGAAGGTAAAAGAGATATTTCATGGACCATAACTTTTTGGATTACTCACTGCTTTAACAAACATTAAAGTATGTCCAGTTGAAGCAAAATACTTCAAAATTTTTGTTTTACCATAATCAGCTTCAAAAGTTTACAGGTGGGTTTCAATTCAACTAGCATCTTTCAACATATGTTATAGATCTTAGTTTCATGCTTTAGTTTCCAAAGGAACAATATGTTATTAAGCAATGAATACCTGTCAGGAATACCATGACATAGCACGTTGTTTACAGAGGTACAAACAGATTTTGGAAAACCTCCGTAGCCTAGAGGTGAGGGATAAGCATCATGACTGATGATTTCCTGATGGACAAGAGCATCTATCTCTTCAGTTGTCATGTCAACCTAAAATATTAAATAAAGAAACTGTTCAGCAACTGTTGAAGTCATTTCCTGTACTCATTGACTATGTCTACAGCTACAGTACTTTCTGATGAGATTATATAAATTTACTGTTATAAGCTTGTGATACAACAGTTTAATTAATGGTGATTAACATTAAATTTTTAAACTGTGCCTTTTGGACAACTGTTTGCGCACAGGATGGTGTTATGGGCTGTTAGGAAATGGAGACTTTAAACTCTAAGATCCTTTAAATTATCTGTGAATCATTCAATGATATGATTCCTTTTGAGCCTGAAAGCTTCACAAAGTATGCCTAGGCAGTTCCTTCCTCTTCTTCAATGGTTAGTGCCTCGGGCTGGCTAAAGCATATAAATAAATTCTCAAACGTATCTTCAGTTTAGATGACAAAGCTTGAAAAGAGGGTCATCCCATACCTTCTTATCTCGCAAAACCCTACATGGGCTTTGCAGCAATGACGGGGAGATTATGGATCATTATTTTAAAATTTAGGTCTGATACACACTGTAGAAGTTTGCTTGTCACGAATCTTGATTTCTTTCATGCCTAAACAAATCCATTGTTTTTAAAAAATACTTTTGAGAGTATTTTTTTCTGAAACTAAAACTAAAAAACAATCTCTCTCAAACTAAAAAAAAAAACTAAACTAAAATTGAGTTTTATGAGTACATGAAGATATCTCCATAAACTCATAAGTCACAAATAAAATTCTAAAACAAAAGCTTTTATTAAAAATTAACTATTTCTGTAATATTTTTGTGCTATTTGATATTCACATTAAATTTAGTTACATTGCTATCACATGTTTATTACACAAACGATACCCTAAGTGATTTCATCACTGAGACTCACTTCTTAAATTCTGTCCACCTTCTGGAAACTATAGGTCCATACCTTTTTTTTTCTTTAATGATTCTTATAAGCAGGGTGTTTCAGATTATTCTGGAAGAACTAAATCTTGTAGTAAGACAGCTGTCCATAATTACATTTTACATTACCTATAGCTTTGTGTTATCCACTCTAATCTTTCTTCGCAGAGTTAATGCAAGAAAAGAGACAAAGGATGAGGCGGAACAACTCTTCAGGCACACAGAAATAATGTGGGGAATAAAAGCAGAAACTACAGGCAGGAATAAGGAGGCAGAAGTCAAAGATGCCTGCCATGGATCAAGTTGGATAGGCTGATTGGGCCCAAAGTATCTCTGGAATCTTTCTCCTTAACACTGAATTTGGATTTTAAGTTAGCTCTTAAATAAACACATAAAATAATAAAATCCCTTTCCCCCACCCCAAGGCTTTACTTGGTTTTGTAACAAATTAGATGTATACAAAAGAAGAGTTCAATGGACAGAGGGAAAAGAAAAGAGGAGGGTTGGTTGCCCCTTCTGTAAGCCCTTCTGAGGCTTGGTGAGACGCCACCTTTAAACTCTTCCCAGCCAGGAGGAGGACATGACGGGCCAGCTGACAAGCCTGACGAAGCCCTTGAATCTGATCTTCATTCTTAACTTCTATGCTGTCTCCCCAGTCGGGTACAATGCCTGTCGTCACATAGTCTGGCTTCTTTATGTGCTTGAGGAAAAAGGATTGAAAATGAAGATCAGAACCCAGCACACGACAATGGGATCATTTTTTCGGACACAGCCTCCTGCTTTATGGAGCTCTGCCCTTCCTGCCGGAGCACCGACCTCCGAAGCCAGCACAACAGACCCTCCAGGCTGCCCCCAGTTCCTTCCCCTGCCCTTTTGAACTTAACATTGCCTGTTAGTGCTGCTTCTGGATGGTCTGTTAACCTTACTGTGCTTTGAGTCAAACTGGTCTGAAGTAGACTTCTGGTCAAAACAAACAGTAGTTTTCTTTTCTTCCTCCTCCCAACCCTGTAAGAAGCATTATTGCCATTGATGAAAAAAATAGCACCAAGCTTCCAAATTGCCAAATGGCTAATTAAGAGCACTTTCATCTTCGTAACACAAAGATAAAATTTATGCAAAGGATAGCTCACAACACCCTCTCCGAATGAACATATGTAAAAGGCTGACTGTCAAGTCTACTGAAGCCTATTACGTATACACTTTTCTTATACTTTGCAACTGTACCCAAACTAAGAAGGGACTAGAGAACAAAACCAAACAGCTTTCTTTTCTTTCTTCTTTTTTTAAATGCATAAAGAATACCTAGAACACTTCCATCATTTGTCAAAAACAAACAAAGAAACCCCCTCAAAACTCAAAACATTCAACCCTGATCACCCTTGTAGAACATTCTCCACTGCTTACTTAAACCTATGGGCAGCATTCAGAAAATAAATACAGTTTTACACACAGAGCTTCTTTGAGTGTCAAGGTTTTGCTCAGCTCTTTGCAATCTATTCATGGAAAGTGCCACATAAGCATTGTTGAACAGTACCCAGGAAGGGTACACGGCAGTTGGGAACAGGAAGCTGAGAGAGATAACACTATTTCAATTGACATCACAGCAACTCTGGAAGGGTGAGGTTAAGGGTCTGCTCTTTGTGAAGCGTATCACACAGGGCTTAGGACTGTCACTGATTCTGGTGTTCACAGGGGCCTTTCTGACACAGGTGACGCCACGGCTAGCGGTGCCACGGCTGAGCTCTGGATGAGCACCTACTCCAACAGTTTGGCTGCCAGTGCCCACAAAAGCTCTCCCAGTCTCCCCCACACACTGTGCTCTCGTCTCCACTCTGCTTTGTGATGTGGCCAGGTTACAATTAGAGGCAGAAGAGCTACTGGGTTGTCACTGACATTTCTAAAACAATATGTTCATCTCTCCGGAGATTTCCTTTTCTCTCCCACTAAGGAAATACCAGGAGCATACTTTTGGGCTCTAGGAGCCTGTCTCACTGGCCCCTTTCCACATAAAAGGGCCACTCACCTTCAGGGAGTAGAATATACTTCATGTGGATTTACTGCTTTTAAAAAATTGCATAAAAGGGGGAAAGCAGGTGATTTCTCTGAGAAATCTATACTTCTTTCAGCTGTTCTCATTCTTCCTACATGACCCACACACCTCCTTTATACTGCATTTTGAAAAATAGATTGTTTTTCCACAGAGTTGTAATCTCTGAAAAAAATCAAGAATGCTCTGAGGCAAGAGGTTTTAATTAATTATTCTAAAGGCGGATACAAAACAGCAGCACTAATCCTACGGAAAGTATAAGGGCAGGCTTTAGGAAAAAACACCTAGTGTATTGCTTTCAAGTCCCAATTTTATAGCCAATTTTTTTTTATTTCTCTAAAAAAGTTAAGAAACTATAGACATGTACTTTTATCTTCATGTTAGAAATTTAATATGGAAAATTTCATGGTAGAAACTAATTCTAAATAATCTAAGCAGCTGTAAGCTGAGAGGTTTAGTTAAAAAAAAATTAACGTGACAGAACTACAGATGTTACAACTTCTCAAATCACAATTTTAAATCACAAACCAAGTTTAAAAATTAGAATTCAAATGGCTCAGAAATGAAAGGCGCAAACACATTTGATAGCTTCTGCAGTTAACCTTTATCTTGGCTAGAAAAAGCAGCAGATCACAGGCAATACAGTACCTCAGGGACTGGGTGGGCTGGAGAAGCTGCGGCCGGCAAAACTATACTGTGTGAAATATCTCTTTGTCTCCGGAAAAAGAAATTTCTTCTTTGTTGACTGCTTGACTGCTTGTGTAAGTAGATATGATTGAGTGGTGAAGAGAGAATTCTATGACAACCTATGAGCAGAAATAGGCATATTTTAAGTTAAAAAACCTAACATGGTGCTACATGTTAAGATTCTGCTTTGTTGTCTATGAAATCATTATCCTAATCCTTCACTGGCTCAAAAAAGGAAAAGCCCCAAATAGAAAGGAAAGCAGTGGTATTCTGAGTTCTAGTACAATAATAGCACAGCATATTTATTAGCTAATACTATGTTTACATAAATGTTTGACAATGGGAAACTCTACTCTAACGGGAAACAAATATATAGAAGCATCTGCTAAGTATCAGATCTGCAAAAAGAACAATTTCTGTTGTGGTACCTTACGCAGCAAATGTGCGGGATGACCCCAGATTCAAGGCACTGTTTGGGTGGCTTTATGTTCTTTAAAGCTGTTTTCCTTTCAAGAATCATGGACAAATTGCCAGCTGCACTTTTTGCCCTTGATAGGATTACTACTATGTGTTAAGTTCACGTGCAGTGAGGCATTATACCGAAATTCACCATGATGAATGCTCAAGTCAGAAAAAGACTAAATAGAAGAAATGTAGGGTGTAACCCTGAAACAAAATGGACAGAGGACCTGAAAGTACCCACAACAGGAATTTAGAAACATCTACCAAGAATGTAAATGCACATATCCTTTGACTCAGCAGTTCACCTCCTAGGACCTTACCTTGCAGATATTATGCAATAATGGATATATGAAGAAGATGTACCCTCATTTTGTAGTAGAAAAAAGGGAAAATAACACAAATTCCCATCAATGGGGGACTGGTGAAGTTTTTATGGCATGTCTATCCAACAGGAAACTATGAAGCTATTAGAGAATAACCTAAATCATTTCTATGTGTTGACATGTAAAGAGGCTACCATACATTGTCAGGAAAAAACCAAATGCTGAACAATATGTATAAAAAGCCCATTGATATAAAAATAATTTATACATTAATATAAGCTCGTATATGCCTATAAAATTTCTGAAAATTGATACTCATCAGTGGTTATTTTTGGAGCATGTGATCAGGACTGGGGGTGGGGAGGAAGACTTCCTGATTCATTTTATCTTCTTCCCTACTGTTAGACTTTCTAAACCATCCACTTACATTACTTTTATAATGAAAACAATAGTCTGAAAACTCCCCAACATATCACAATTACACGTCAGAGATCGGCAAACTGTAGCCCCAAGGCCAAATCTGGCCTGCTGCCTGTTTTTGTACAGCCCATAACCTAAAAATGATTTTTACACTTATAAATGGATAAAAAAGAAATAAAAAATAATATTTTTTAACGTGAAATTATATGAAATTCAGATTTCAATGCCCATAAATAAAGGCTTATTGGAACACAGCTTATAATTATCTATAGCTGCTTTGAGACACCGTGGCAGAGTTGAGTACTTGTGACAGAGACTGTATGACCCACAAAGCCTAAAATACTTACTATCTGGTCATTTACAGAAGTTCGTCAACTCCTGGTCCAGAGCACTGCTTCTCAAAGTGTGGTACCGAGACCAGCATATCAGCGCCACATGGGAAAAAATGCAAATTATCGGGACCCTCATCAATTTACTGACTCAAACTCTGGGCTGAGGTCAGCAATCTGTGCCTTCATGAGGCCTTACAGTGATTCTGCTGCCCATTAAAGTATGAGAGTTACTGGCCTAGAGTAACATTTCATCTGTGAAACACAATAGAAATACGAACTGCAGGTAAGTACTGGCTTCCAAAGTCAAGATCTCCAAGTGAGGTGGAAAAAGGCACGGACACAAACAAACCCCAGTGGTCAGTGATTCGGTGTCCTAAGTTTCACTCAATTACATCCTTCCATAAAGTTGAATGTAATCGTGTTGAATCAAACTTCCAGAAGTGTTTTGGTGTTATTTTAAACAATTCTAATACTAGACAAAATGCAGCAATATCACTTCTTTAAATATCAACAGTTGCTTGACAGAGGCAGGTACATAGTCCCTGAAGCTTGTAAATTGCCCCGAGGACAACACCACCAGCTCTAGGACTGTTAACTGGTACATGGGGGCAGGGCACTTTCCTAGGAAAAGCAGGAGGTTGGAAAGCAGAAGCTGGACTTGCATTTCAGCTCTACCACTCAGCTGTGTGGCCCTGATCAAGCTTCTTTTTTTGAGTCTCAGGTGAGAATTAACTGGAATATGTGAAAAAGTATGTGAAAACACTTTGCATTCTAATAAATGACATTTCCTTCAAGAACACTTAAAAAGTAAAATGAGAAAGAAAACACGTGCTCCATTATAGCTTCTAATACTGAGCACTTACTATGTGTCAATTACTGTATGAGGCACTTTACATATGTTAGCTCCTGAATCTAAATGAGAACGCTATGAGTTGTAAACTATTATGACTCCATTCCACAGTTGAAGATAATGAAGCACCTAAAGGTAAGAAACTTCCACAGGCACATGTAGTAAGTTCCAAAGCTGTGAGAAAGCAGGTCAAGTTGCCTCCACAAAATACATTTTCTCATACATGTGAGGAAAATGACCTAACCACATGGAAACACCCAGAAAACATAAAGGCATCACAAAACTATTAAAAGGTACCACCGTTAGGTTATTTTTCCAAAAGTGGTTTGAGGTTGACCTAATCCATCCACTCTCTCCAGCCCAGCTCCCTTTGTTGACCAAACAAAGGCTTTAGTGAGGTGGCTGACAGAAGAAGTTGGCTGTCAGTCTAAGGTTATGGAACAGAAAATCTGGATCCCAGCTAAAGCAAAGACTTAGGTGGAATCCACCTATGATTCCAGGCTCCCTAAGTGCATCTCTAGTAGGATAACAGACAAGACACAAGCTTATCAGTATCTTCCTTCAGAGGAAAGTATGTATTATGGTTGCTATTATGGTAACATTAATTGAATTAGTAACAATAATCATGTGGTTCACATTTAGTGGCCACTTCCTTTAATGAAGTACAGTGCTAGGTGCTCTACATACATGATCTCTTTCTTACCAATTCTGTCTCGTAGGCAGGTAGCTGTTGATGGCACCGTTTTACAGATGAGGAACTAAGACTCACACCTGTAGTGGTTAGTGGGGGAGCCTAAGGTTCCACATCCCCTAAAACCAAATCAAGGACTGTGTCTGCTGCTCCAAGATGCCTTGCTTCAGTGTGCAGGGGCTCTAGTAGATAGCATGCTTTGCTAGAGAATGTGGTTTTCCTTGGGGATTAGACTTAAAGGGAAGGTTTTGTAAAAAAAAATATATATATATATATGAAAAAATAAACATCATAGGACCATCCAACATTTAGAAGAAGGCACTTTTTCATGAAAATTCTTAGATCTGATCTAAGAGGCACTGCAGTAGTGAAAACAACATGACCTTTGAAGTCTGACAGATCTGAGTAACCAAAACTTCTGAGCCCCACATTCTTCACCATTACATGGGAAGAGTAGTGCTTTCCTCACTAGTAGGCTATTGTGAGCATGAGCTAACATATATGTGTAAATCATCTTAAAAAGCAGGTGCTCCATGAATGTTAACTTTTTTCCTTTCCCTTCTCAACTCTGCAATGTGTTTACCTGCAGGCCTCTAAATTTATTTGTTATTTTATTCAGCAACTACTCACTGAGCTCCTCTTACATGCCATGCTCTGGATGCAGAGTGAACCAGGTGACAAAATCCCCACTCTCATGGGACTTATATTCTGTGGTGGAACACAGACAAGAAGCAAGCCAACAAATACATTAGATTGTGTAAGACGGTGATATGCATGATGCAAAATGGGCCAGGGTGAGAGAGCAGCAGACGGCATCTTGGAACCATGGCTCTGCCCCAGGTCCTGCCAAGAGCTAACTATGTGACTTCAAGTAGTAACAATAATAGTGAACATTGGCTGAGAGCTTCCTGGTGCCAACCTCTATGCTGAGCACTTCAGACACTGGCCACTGATACAGAAGGCTCAGGAAAATGAGAGAGTTGGACTTATAATCTTTGAGGTCTCCTTTAGCTCTGACATTTGTGCCTTCATTCAGCAGCATCTGATTGTCATGCTACATCCTGGGCAATGGGATGATGTAGACGCCGATCAATTTTAGGACTCATGAAGATTTTTTTCAATGCAGCTGATTACATGATAGAGAGATCATCTTTATCAGTATTATCAAGTTCAAGTACACAGTCATTACAGGGGGAATCTTTTTTATGTACTTAAGCTTGAGGCATGAAGTCACCACCTCTACTTGGATATCTGGCTGAGGCTTTTGAGACATTCTTTTCTAGAATGAACAGTGTTGCCAGTGTACCTGTCCTGCCAAATGATAGGCTCACTGCCGAGAAGATGCGGGCACACCCACCCATGACTTAAACATTGGGAACACAGCCTGAACATATCCAGTCTGTTGACAATTACGGTTCTGCACTCTACTCAGAAATTCCACTTTCATATGATACTTTTTTATTTGAAGCAAAATCTTTTCTTTCAATCTGATAAAAGACACCCTATAAATGCTGTCACAAGGTAACAGGATAATAAGGTACCATACCGTGTTTATTCCACTAACTACTCATTACAAACTAGAAAAAAAAGTCTAGTGTTTTCACAGGTGAAATGAAGAAATGGGCTTAAGAAATACATGCCTTTAGAAGATAATGGTCCTCCAATTAATGTGGCAAAAAAGAGGTGGGGCAAAACCCTCTATTTATTTTGCTTATCATATTATAGTTAATAAAGAGTAGTTAACAAATTTTCTAAATGCAGAGTGAGTAGAATTAAAATCTCCAGTGCCAATTATATTCAGGGTCGAAGGACAACCAAACTATAGTTACTGCTACATACTATCCTAGAAAAGGTTTGTTGAGTTTCCTTTATATTTCCCTTCTTTATAAAAGCACTGCTTTGTACACCGGAAGTTAGTACAATACAAATATTATATGTTAGTTATATCTCAAATAAATAAATGAATACATAATAAGAGCACTGCTGATAACCTTATCACAACTACATCTAACTTCCAACTTGGTACCATCAGTGTTATAGC